AGTTGCTGTTCCTGCAACCTTCGGGTAGCATCGGTGTGGCACTGCAGGAAGCCCAGGATGGACATGTCGTCTGAGGAATGGGAGGGGGAGTTGAAATGGTTCGCGACTGGGAGGTGCAGTTGTTTAGTGCGAACCGAGCGTAGGTGTTCTGCAAAGCGGTCCCCAAGCCTCCGTTTGGTTTCCCCGATGTAGAGGAGGCCACAACGGGAACAGTGGATGCAGTATACCACATTAGCAGATGAACATCTGCTTGATGGGGAAAGTCTTCTTGGGGCCTGGGATGGGGTTGAGGGGGGGAGGTGTAGGGGCAGGTGTAGCACTTCCTGCGGTTGCAGGGAAAAGTGCCGGGTGTGGTGGGGCTGGAGGGGAGTGTGGAGCGGGCAAGGGAGTCACCGAGGGAGTGGTCCCTCCAGAAAGCAGATAAGGGTGGGGACGGAAAAATGTCTTTGGTGGTGGGGTCAGATTGCAGATGGCGGCAGTGTCGGAGGATGATGCGTTGGATTCGGAGGTTGGTGGGGTGGTACGTGAGGACGAGGGGGATTCTGTTTTGGTTGTTATTGCGGGGAGGGGGTGTGAGGGATGAGTTGCGGGAGACACGGTCGAGGGCATTCTCGACCACTGAGGGGGGGAAGTTGCGGTCCTTGAAAAACGAGGACATCTGAGATGCACAGGAGTGGAATGCCTCATCCTGGGAACAAATGCGGCGGAGACGAAGGAATTGGGAATAGGGGATGGCATTTTTGCAGGAAGGTGGGTGGGAGGAGGTGTACTCTAGGTAGCTGTGGGAGTCGGTGGGCTTGAAATGGATATTGGTTTCTTGGTGGTTGCTCGAGATGAAGACAGAGAGGTCCAGGAAGGAGAGAGACGTATTAGAGATGGTCCAGGTGAACTTAAGGTTGGGGTGGAAGGTGTTGGTGAAGTGGATGAACTGTTCGAGCTCCTCGTGGGAGCACGAGGCAGCACCGATACAGTCATCAATGTAACGGAGGAAGAGGTGGGATTTAGGGCCAGTGTAGCTACGGAAGAGGGATTGTTCCACGTAACCTACAAAGAGGCAGGCATAGCTAGGGCCCATGCGGGTACCCATGGCCACCCCCTTTGTCTGTAGGAAGTGGGAGGAATTGAAGGGGAAGTTGTTAAGGGTGAGGACGAGTTCAGCTAAGCGGATGAGGGTGTCAGTGGAGGGGGACTGGTCGGGCCTGCGGGACAGGTAGAAGCGGAGGTCCTTTAGGCCATCTGTATGGGGAATGCAGGTGTATAGGGACTGGACGTCCATGGTAAAGATGAGGTGTTGGGGACCGGGGAATTGGAAGTTCTGGAGGAGGTAGAGGGCATGGGTGGTGTCACGGACGTAGGTAGGGAGTTCCTGGACCAAGGGGGAGAAAATGGAGTCGAGATAGGTGGAGATAAGTTTGGTGGGGTAGGAGCAGGCGGAGACACTGGGTCAACCAGGGCAGTCAGGTTTGTGGATTTTGGGAAGGAGATAGAAGCGGGCGGTGCGGGGTTGGGGAACGATGAGGTTGGAGGCTGTGGGTGGGAGGTCACCTGAAGTGATGAGGTTGTGGATGGTTTGGGAGATGATGGTTTGGTGGTCGGGGGTGGGGGGTGGGGTCATGATCAAGGGGCGGTAGGAGGAGGTGTCGGAGAGTTGGCACCTGGCCTCGGCGATGTAGAGGTCAGTGCGCCATACTACAACTGCGCCTCCCTTGTCCGCGGGTTTTACGGTGAGGTTGGGATTGGAGCGGAGGGAGCGGAGGGCTGCACGTTCTGCGGGGGAGAGGTTGGAGTGGGTGAGACGGGTGGAGAGGTTGAGGCGATTGATGTCTCGATGGCAGTTGGAGATGAAGAGGTCGAGGGAGGGTAGGAGGCCTTGGGGTGGTGTCCAGGAGGAGGGGGTGTGTTGGAAGCGGGAGAAGGGGTCAGTAGAGGGAGGGTTAGGCTCACGGTTAAAGAAGTAAGCGCGGAGGCGGAGGAAAAACTGCTCAATGTCCAAACGTGACCGGTATTCGTTGATGTGTGGGTGGAGGGGGACAAAGGTGAGTCCTTTACTGAGGACTGACCGTTGGTCCTCAGTAAGGGGTAGGTCTGGGGGGATGGTGAAGACTAGGCAGGGCTGGGTGTTACTGTCTCCTCTGGAGCTGCTGGCTGTGGAGGCGGTGGGCGGAGCGACGTCCGCGTCAGCTGTGGGCGGAGCTGCGTCGGTGGTGGGCGGAGTTGCGTTGGCTGTGGGCGGAGTTGCGTCGGCAGTGGGCGGAGTTGCGTCAGCGGTGGTGGGCGGAGTTGCGTCGGCGGTGGCGGGCGGAGTTGCGTCGGCGGCGGTGGGCGGAGTTGCGTCGGCGGTGGGCGGAGTTGCGTCGGCGATGGTGGGTGGTTTTTGTTTGTTTTCTTGTGTGTTAGTGAAACAAAATGAATAAAAATCTCACATTTGTAAAATATAATGACTCTAATAACTCTAAAAAAACATAATAAATCTTTAACTAAGCCTGCAATCCCTGGAGCAGCTGTAAGATCCACCCTGCAGGGAGTCTATCTCCCAGACTGCGTTGGTAAGGAGCTCCAAACAAGGATCAAATTGTATCATTGAGCACAGAACTCAAAACTCCTCTTTGACAACTTTCTGTAACTTACCTTCCTCTCACCAATATCATTTTCACTGTTATAAAGGCAATTTCTGTATGGAATATGAGTCAATACCTTATTATTTAAACTATGTTTTTGTGCTCTTCAAAGCCACAATAATCATTTTGTCAAGTTGTTGTATATGTTTGAGACCCGTCCATTAGCGCATTTTCAAAACTCATTCCCTCATATTCATAATGCCGGGACTGGAGGGTTCGAGCTATTGGGAGTGGCTGAATAGACCAGGGATTTTTTTCCCTGGAACATCAGAGCCTGAAAGATGACTTTATAAAGGTTTATAAAATCATGAAAAGCATGGATAGGGTGAATAGCCAGGGTCTTTTTCCTAGCGGGAGGAGTCCAAAACTCGAGGGCATAGTTTTAAGGTGAGAGGGGAAAAATCTTAAAAAGGACCTGAGGGGCAACTTTTTCCTGCAGAGGATGATATGTGTATGGAATAAGCTGCCAGAGGGAGTTGTAAAGGCTGATGCAATTACAACATTTAAAAGGCATCTGGAATAGGAATGGTTTCGAGGGATATGGGCCAAATGCTGGCTAATGGGACTAGGCCAGATTGGGATATTTGGTTGGCGCGGATGAGCTAGGCCAAAGGGTCTGTTTCTGTGTTGTATGACTCTATGACTTCAGAAGTAACAATCTCTTTTGCTTACTTTTCCGAGCATCCTAAGATCATGCCATGAATCCTTGACTTGCAACTGATCTTTAAGAAGGTCAAAAGTCAGTAGAAGGTGCCTGTGCAGTGCAAGACTTCCAGCTACCTCGCTGTGTTCTTGAAACCTGTCCAATAATCAAAATCCACTATGGAGCCTTGGATTTCAGTGCTGTTATGAGGAGAGATTATACAAATCAGATCTGTTTCCTCAAGAATTTAGAAGGTTAAGCGGTGATCTGATCGAAGTCTTCAAGATTTTAACAGGAAAAGACAGGGTAGAGAAAGATCTTTTTTTTTTCTCACTGATTGCGGATTCTAGAACTTTGGGCACAGTTCAAAAAGTGAGGCCAGACCTTTCAGAAGCAATGTTAGGAAGCACTTCTACACAAAGGGTAGTGGAGGTTTGGAACTATCTTCCACAAATGATAGTTTGTACTAGATCCATTGTTCATTTGAAGTCATAGATGGATACATTTTTGTTAAGCAAAAATATGAAGAGAAATAGCCCAAAAGCAGGTATATGGAGTTAGGCCAGAGATCAGCCCAGGATCTCATTGGATGGAGGAAAAGGCTTGAGAGGCTGGATGACTTCCTAGGCTGGATACGGATGTCATGGTGAGATAACATCAAGAGAACTGTGTACTGTTTGTGTCTCCTTCTTTAAGAAGGGATTTGCACTGGCACTGGAAGAACTCTCTTGTCAAGTCCCACATTTGTAACACCGTGTTTCTTACTGTATAGCATTTAATAAGCTCAACAGAACTCTCCCAGGACTCTCCATTTATTTGGCTGTCGTAACTATTTTTCCCAATTTCACTTCCAGGCCAGAAATTCGCTCCCTTTTTCCGTAGTCTTTCACAGGATGTGTATGTCTCTGGCTAGGCAAGTGGTGATGCCCATCTCCAAATGTCCCTGGACTATAATGCATCCCTCTGCCACCTCTGGATCTTCTGCTGATTTTCAACCTTACAAATATTTTCTATCTTGCCAATCACTCTCCACACTCTCTGGCACTTCAATTTCATAGAAGTATTTTACAGCCTTTCAGTTCACTGACTTCACCAAATTCTACAGTTCCGCTTGTATGAAAGACTTCAGGATGAAGAGCGGAGGCTTCTGGCACTGCCCAAGGTGGTCTTGCTCCAATAACTTGTGGTCTCATGGCATTTAGAGGGACATGGCAGTAGCACAAGTTGTTCTCAATCCTCTGAACTCTAAGTTGAGTCTATGGCCATTTCAACATCACTAGAGCGGGGCCCTGGACAAAATGATCTTTGGTGAGGGACAAATGAACACGTGGAATGATCCTGCCTGGTTCCCGTTCACAAAGAAAGCAGCCAATTAGCTGGCAGGGCTGTGCTCTGCCATGCCAGGATGGAGAGCAGAGGCTTCTGGGACTGCCCGAGATGGTCTTGTTGCAGGATGGGCTGTCACACGGGCCATGCTGGAAGTGATCGGAGAAGTAGCACATACCAATTACAGCATCACTGACTCCCGAAAGAACCCCGGTGCCATGGAGCCAAACCCTGTGCTCTGTCAATCCTCATTCATAATAAACAGTAACCAGGGGAAGAAACTTGTGTCTTAGTGACTCTGAAATTCTGAAACTGAAGAGTTAACCTTCAGTTTCAATTCCCTGCCGCTAGTGCATTTCAGTAAAGATCACCTGATCATGATGTAATGTGAATGACGTGTTTAATCTGTATAAGTGAGTTTACATGTTGGTGTATCTTTGGAGACTGTGCACCCTTCATTCCGATCATCCAGCTCCTTGGACATCAGAAGGAAAAGTAAACAAGCAGCCGGTGTATTCACTCAGATCACCATGGGGTAAATGAGATCTTCATGTGTCCATTCTGTGTACAATGCACTCAGCTGCAGCTCAGTGCTATCAGCGCTATCTGAATAGCACTGATTGAAGGTGGGAAGGTGGGACCTGTACAAGAAGGACGGGCTGCACCTTAACTGGAGGGGCACCAATATCCTGGACGGGAGGTTTGCTAGAGCTCTTCGGGAGGGTTCAGGCTAGTTTGCTAGGGGGATGGGAACCGGAGCAACAGATCAGAGGATGGGGTAGCTGGTGTACAGTCAGATACAGCATGTAAAGAGCTGTGAGGAAGAATAGACAGTCGATAGGGCAAAGTTGCAGTCAGTGTGACGGGTTGAAGTGTGTCTATTTTAACACAAGAAGTGTCAGGAATATGGGTGATGAAATTAGAGCATGAATTTAGAGCTATGATGTTGTGGCCGTTACAGAGACTTAGATGTCACAGGGGCAGGAATGGTTGTTGGATGTTCCGGAGTTTAGATGTTTCAAAAGAAATAGGAAGGGAGGTAAAAGAGGTGAGGGAGTGGCATTGCTAATCAAGGATGGTATCACAGCTTTAGAAAGGTAGGTCGTGGAGGAGGGTTTGTCTACTGAGTCAGTATGGTTGGAAGCCAGAAACAGGAAAGGAGCAGTCACTTTATTGGGAGTTTCCTACAGACTCCCCAATAGCAACAGAGACACTGAGGAACAGATTGGGAGGCAGATTTTGGAAAGATGCAGAAGTAATAGGGTTGTTGTCATTGGTAACTTCAACTTCCCTAATATCGACTGGAACCTCCTTAGTGCAAATAGATTGGATACAGCAGATTTTGTCAGGTGTGTCCAGGAAGGATTTCTGACTCAATATGTAGATAGACCGACTAGAGGGGAGGCCATATTGGATTTGGTGCTTGGCAACAAACCAGGTCACGTGTCAGATCTCTTGGTGGGAGATCATTTCGGTGATAGTGATCACAACTCCCTGACCTTTACTATAGTCATGGAGAGGGACAGGAGCAGATGGTATGGGAATGTATTTAATTGGGGGAGGGGGAATTACAATGCTATTAGGCTGGAACTGCAGAGCATAAATTGGGAACAGATGTTCACAGGGAAATGCACGACAGAAATGTGGTGGTTGCTTAGAGAGCACTTGCCATGAGTGCTGGATAGGTTTGTCCCACTGAGGCAAGGAAGGGATGGTAAGGTGAAGGAGCCTTGGATAACAAGACGTGTGGAACATCTAGTCAAGAGGAAAAAGGAAGCTTACTTAAGGTTGAGGAAGCAAGGATTATTGAATTCTTTGAGGATGTAACAAAACATATTGATGAAGGTAGATCAGTGGATGTGGTATAGATGGATTTTAGCAAGGCATTTGATAAGGTTCCCCATGGTAAGCTGATTCAGAAAGTAAGGAGGCATGGGATTCAGGGAAATTTGGCCGTCTGGATACAGAGATGGCTGTCCAATAGAAGACAGAGTGTGGTAGTAGATGGAAAATATTCAGCTTGGAGCTCTGTGACCAGCAATGTTTTACAGGGATCTGTTCTGGGACCTCTACTCTTTGTGATCTTTATAAATGACTTGGTTATGGAAGTGAAGGGGTGGGTTAGTAAGTTTGCCGATGACACAAAAGCTGGTGGAGTTGTGGATAGTGTGGAGGGCTTTTGTAGCTTGCAACGGGACAATGACAGGATGCAGAGCTGGGCAAAGAAGTGGCAGATGGAATTCAACCCAGAAAAGTGTGAAGTGATTCATTTTGGAAGGTTGAATTTGAATGCAGAATACAAGGTTAATGGCAGGATTCTTGGCAGTTTGGAGGAACAGAGAGATATTGGGGTCCATGTCCAGAGATCCCTCAAAGTTGCCACCCAAGCTGATAGGGTTGTTAAGAAGATGTATGGTGTGTTGGCTTTTATTGGCAGGGGGATTGAGTTTAAGAGCCGCGAGGTTATGCTGCAGCTCTATAAAACCCTGGTTAGACCATACTTGGAATATTGTGTTCAGTTCTGGTCACCTCATTATAGGAAGGATGTGGAAGCTTTAGAGAGGGTGCAGAGGAGATTTACCAGGATGCTGCCTGGAATGGAGGGCAGGTCTTATAAGGAAAGGTTGAGGGAGCTAGGGCTTTCTCATTGGAGCGAAGAAGGATGAAAGGTAACTTGATAGAGGTGTACAAGATGATGAGAGGAATAGATAGAGTGGATAGCCAGAGACTGTTCCCAGGGTGGAAATGACTATTATCAGGAGGCATAATTTTAAGGTTACTGGAGGAAGGTATAGGGGAGATGTCAGAGGTAGGTTCTTTACACAGAGAGTGGTGGGTGCATGGAACGCGCTGCCGGCGGTGGTGGTGGAGTCAGATACAATAGGGACATTTAAGTGACTCTTGGATAGGCACATGGATGATAGTAAAATGTAGGGTATGCAGGTAGTTTGATCTTAGAGTAGGATAATAGGTCAGCACAAACAACATGGGCCGAAGGGCCTTTGCTGTGCTGTACTGTTCTATGTTCTATTTTCGATCTGAGGAGTTGTGAATGGTGCTGAACATTGTGCAATCATCGGTGAACATCCCCACTTCTGACCTTATGATGGAGGAAAGGTCATTGATGAAGTAGCTGAGGGGAGCCGATTGCTCTAGTAGTATTGTCACTGGGCTTTTAATCTAGAGACCCAAGTCATGTTCAGCAGACCTGGGCTTGAGTCTCACCACGGCAGATGGTGGAATTTGAATTCAATAAAAAAATTCTGCGAATTTAGAGAAACCATTGTGAATTGTCAGGAAAAATCGATCTGGGTCACTAATGCCCTTTAGGGAAGGAAACTGCCATCCTTACCTGGTCCAGCTTGCTTGTGACTCCAGACCCACAATAATGTAGTTGATCCTTAACTGCTCTCTGGTAATTAGGGAAGGACAATAAATGCTGGCCTTGCCAGCGACACCCTCATTCCATGAATGAATAAATAAAAAAAGATGATTGGGACGAGGACACCACCGTGAGGAATTCCTGCAGAGATGCCCTGGAGATGAAAGGACTGACCTGCAACAACCATAACCATTTTCCTACCAGCCAGGTATGATTCTAACCAACAAAGAGTTTGCCTTCTGATACCCATTGATTCCAGTTTTGTGGCCTTGATGTCAAGGGCTCACCTCACCTCTGGAATTCAGCTCTTTTATCCATGTTTGAACCAAGGCTGTAATGAGGTCATGAAATGAGTTACCCTGACTGAACCCAAACTGGGCATCACTGAGCAGGTGCTGCTTGATAGCGCAGTTACTGACACCTTCCATCACTTTACTGTTGATTGAGAGTATACTGATGGGCGATAATTAGCTGGGTTGGATTTGTCCTTTTTTTTATGTACAGGACATACAGTATTCAATGCTTCCAAATCGTTTCTTGATATCACATGGAGTGAATGGAATTGGCTGGAGACTGGTATCTGTAATGCTGGGGACCACTGGAGGAGGCCAAGATGGATCATCCACTTGGCACTTCTGGCTGAAGATTGCTGCGAATGCTTCAGCCTTATCTTTTGCAATGATTTGCCGGGCTCCTCTAGTGAGGTGTTTAATTGTTCACCACCATTCACAACTGAATGTGGCAGGACTGCAGAGCTTAGATCTGACCTGTTGGCTGTGGGATCGCTTAGCTCCTTGCTGCTTATGCAGTTTGGCGTGCAAGTAGTCCTGTTTGATGGCTTCACCAGTTTGACACTTCATTTTCAGGTAGGCCTGGTGCTACTCCTGGCATGCCCTTCTGCACTTCCGTTGAACCAGGGTTGATTCCCTGTCTTGATGTTCTTTTTTAAATTCATCTTGTGGGATGTGAGCGTCACTTGCTGGGCCAGCATTTATTGCCCATGCCTAGTTGCCCTTGAGAAGTTGGTGGTGAACTGCCTTCTTGAACCGCTGCAGTCCATCTGCTATGGGTTGACCCACAATGCCATTAGGGAAGGAATTCCAGGACTTGGACCCAGCGACAGTGAAGGAACGGTGATATGTTTCCAAGTCAGTATGGTGAGTGGCTTAGAGGGGAAGTTGGAGGTAGTGGTGTTCCATTTATCTGCTGCCTTTGAACTTCTACATGGAAGTGGTAGTGCATTTGGAAGGTGGTGTCTGAGGATCTTTGGTGAATTTCTGCAGTGCGTCTTGTAGATAGTACACACTGCTGTTACTGAGCGCCTGCAGTGGAGGAAATGGATTCTTATGGATGTAATGCCAATCAAGCAGGGGCTGCTTTGTTCTGGATGGTGTCAAGCTTCTTGTGTGTTGTTGGAGCTGCACCCATCCAGGCAAGTGGGGAGTATTCCATCACACTCCTGACCTGTGCCTTGTAGATGGTGGAGAAGCTTTGAGGAGTCAGGAGGTGAGTTACTCACCACAGTATTCTTAGCTTCTGGCCTGCTCTTGTAGCCGTGTGTTTATGTGGTGAGTCCAGTTGAGCTTCTGGTCAATCATAACCCCCAGGATGTTGATAGTGGTGGATTCAATGATAGTAACTCTGTTGAATACCAAGAGGCAGTGATTAGATTGTCTTTTATTCGTGATGGTCATAGCCTGGCATCTGTGTGGCATGAATATTACTTGCCACCTGTCAGCCCAAGCCTAAATATTATCCAGATCTTGTTGCATTTGAACATGGACTGCTTCAGTATCTGAGGAGTTGTGAATGGTGCTGAACATTGTACAATCAGCAGTGGACATCCCCAACTCTGACCTTATGGTGGATGGAAGGCCATTGATGAAGATGGTTAGGCCGAGGACACTACCCTGAGGAACTCCTGCAGAGATGTCCTGGACCTGAGATGACTGACCTCCAACAACCACGACCATCCTTCTATGTGTCAGTTATGACTCCAACCACTGGAGAGTTTGCCCCCTGATACCCATTGATTCCAGTTTTGCTGGAGCTCCTTGATGTTGCACTAGGATGAATACTGCCTTGATGTCAAGGGCTGTCACTCTCACCTCAGCTCTGGAATTCAGCTCTTTTGTCCATGTTTGAGCCAAGGCTGTAATGAGATCTGAAGCTGAGTGGCCCTGGCAGAACTCAAACTGGGCATCACTGAGCAGTTTATAATATGGTAATAGTTGAGTGGAGGATATGCCGGGCCATGAGGTTACAGATTGTGCTGGATTACAATTCTGCTGCTGTTGATGGCCCACAGTCTTATGGACGCCCAGTGTTGAGTTGTTAAATCTTTTTGAAGTCTGTCCCATTTAGCACAACACTAGTGCCACAGAACACGATGGAGGTTACTATCAATGTGAAGGGTTGACTTTGTTCCTACAAGGACTGTGCAGTGGTCACTCTTGCCAATGTCATCATGGACAGATTGGTAAGGATGAGGTCGAGCACATTTTTCCCTCTTGTTGACTCCCTCACCACCCGCTGCAGACCCAGTCTAGCAGCTATGTCTTTTAGGAACCAACCAGCTTGATCGGTATTACTGCAGCCGAGCCACTCTAGGTGGTGTACATTGAAATCCCCCACCCAGAGTACATTTTGTGCCCTTGCCATCCTCAGTGCTTCCTCCAAGTGTCGCTCAACATGGAGGAGGACCGATTCATCAACTGAGGGAGGACAGTATGTGGTAATCAGCAGGAGGTTTCCTTGCCCACGTTTAACCTGAAGCCATGAGACTTCATGGGGTCTGGAGTCAATGTTGAGGACTCCCAGGGTAATTCCCTCTCAACTGTACACCACTGTGCGGCACCCTCTGCTGGGTCTGTCCTTCCCATGGGACAGGATACATCCAGGGATGGTGATGATGGTGTCTGGGACATTGTCTATAAGGTATGATTGCATGATTGTGTCAGGCTGTGAGACACCTCTTCCAATTTTGGAACTAGCCCTGAGATGTTAGTAAGGAAGACTTAGCAGGGTCCACAAGGCTGTCTCTGCTGTTGTCTTTTCTGGTGCCTATGTCGATGCCAGGTGGTCCATCCAGTTTCGTTTCCTTGAGACTTTGTAGTGATTGGTACAACTGAATGACTTGTTAGGCCATTTCAGAGGGCATTTAAGAGTCAACCACATTGCTATGGGTCTGGTGCCACATGTAGGCCAGACCAGGTGAGGATGGCAGATTTCCTTCCCTGAAGGACATTAGTGAACCAGATGGGATTTCCTGACAATTGACAAAGGTTTCATGGTCATCAGTAATTGCAGATCTTTTTTTTATTGAATTCAATTTTCATCATCTACCATGGCAGGATTCGAACCTGGGTTTCAAGAAGATTAGCTGAGTTTCTGGATTAATAGTCTAGGGATGATACCGCTAGGTCATCACCTCCCCTCTGATTGAGTATTTGACCCAGTGCTCCTCTTTATATCACTGAGAGTGGGAGTCCTTGTGTTACTGCACATTAAGTGAGTAAACTACTGACATACAGCAAATACATCAGCCAGAATTAAAGACACTAGTACCAGCTGAGGCAAGTTTTTAAATCATTGGATAGAAGAGAGGCAGTGCTTCAGTTTGTATGTGATGAATTTTGATTAATTTTATTCTCTTGCAGTGACACACAGAAGGATTTGTTGAAAGTGAAACTGGATCAGCTTCAATGTCACTTCACATGGGCTCCACAGAAAGAAAACATTGACTTGGATGATATGAAACAAAGATTAGAAGATTCAATACAACTTGATGTGAAATATCAAGACAGGTCTTACAACCAACTTGCTTTTGTCAACTGTCTGCAAGGAAACTGTGAAGAGGCAATTCAGAATTTAAAGGAAGCTGAAAAGATTCTGAGGGAGAAACATGAAGATGAATTTGAGAAAAGAATCATTGTCACCTATGGAAACTATGCCTGGGTTTATTATCACATGAACCAACTGGAAGAGGCTCAGTCCTACCTCGACAAGCTGGAGACAGTCTGTAAACTATTTCCTGAAGCCTCTAGGTTTACAGCAATGATACCTGAGGTTTATGGGGAGAAGGGTTGGTCACTGTTGAGCTCTGCTGCTCAACATTATGAAGAGGCAAAGGAATGTTTTAAAAAGGCCCTGGAGAAAGATCCTGACAACATTGAGTGGAACGTTGGCTATGCCACTGTTCTGTCTCGTCTGGAATGGTTTTCTGGGACCCCAGGGAGTCGTGGGCCCATGGAATCAGTGAAGTGGTTTAGACGTGTGCTGGAGCTTGATCCTGATGACTCTGTATCCATGGTGCTGTTGGCTCTCAAACTACAAATAAGTAGGAAAAATGATGAAGCACTCACTTTAGTTGAACGAGCATTGCAGAAGTCCCCTGATCTCCCTTATGTGCTCCGATATGCAGCTCAGTTTTACAGATACTGCAACAATGTGAATAAAGCTCTGGAGCTGTTGGAGAGAGGATTAGAAATTAGCCCACACTCTACCTTCATACATCATAAAATAGGTCAATGTTACAGAACCAAATTGTATCAAGTGATCAAAAATCCACTCAGTAAAGATCCTCGCAATCCAGCATTTCAACAGAAAGCTGAGCTGATCAATAAATGCAAGTACCATTTTGAAAAGTCTTTCAAGAAAGAGTCACTGACATCTGTTAAGCCCAGCCTCGATTTTGCAGCAATTTGCTTATTAAATGAAGAATGCGACAAAGCACAGGAAATCTACAGCCATCTCCTGACACTGGAAGTTATTCGCCCAGAGAACAAGCAAGCGATACGTTTAGCGGTAGGGTTATTTCAACTGAATCACAAGAATTCAGAATCAAACGCCATCCAACATTTTCTGGAAGGAATGAAAGTCAATTACGACTCAGTGGAACGGAAAAAGTGCCGTGAAAACCTGGAGAAGATAGCAGCAAGACGATTTCACAGGAATCTAAGAGAGAGTGAGGCCCTTGGTGTTCGGGGATTCCTGCACCAGCTCGATGGGGAGAAGTGTGAAGCGATTGAATGCTTCAAAAAGGCTTTGGAGTTTGATCCTGACAATGACGAATATTTAAGTGCTCTTTGTGAATTAAACCTTTCCATTGAGGGCAGAAATAACCCTCCCAACGAAAACTAAATGATATGTTGAAATACATCGACTGCACTGAGTCATAACAGATTTAGAGAGGCTCATTTTCATTAATAGAGAAATTTAGCTGGTCTGGCAGCATCAGTGAAGAGAAAATAGAGTTCATATTTCGAGTCCAGTGATCCTTTTATCTTTGCAAAAGGATCACTGGACTCGAAATATGAACTCTATTTTCTCTTCACCGATGCTGCCAGAGCAACTAAGTTTTTCCAGCAGTTTCTGTTTTTGTTTGTTTCAGATCTCCAATATCTGCAGTTCTTTATTTTACACTTTCATTAATAGACTTTTGGCATTCTTTGAAGTGAGCATTTTACTCCTATATGTTTAATTTTCTCAAGGGTCTGAATGCAATCATCCTAAGTGTACTTAATTCGGAAATATTTTTACCACACTGTCAAACTAACAAAATCATAATCATTTCCGTAGTAAGAGATTTGGATTAGTTTGAATTGGTAAAAATATAACGTCGGACATAAGGGATCAAAGTTAATTCAACCAGTCGGAGAGATTCATAGTAATTCTTTTAGGAATTATACGGACTTGTTTAAAACAATAATACATTAACATCGGCCTGATTTTAACTCCAGATGGGTTTAGAGTGTGTGGTGAGGGCATTTCAGATCTAAATAATTTCTCTAGTTCCTGCCTTGGGTTCATGACACAGTTAAATATCACATTCAGGGTCAGAGAATGTTGGGGATAAAGGGTAGAAGAATGCATTAAAAAGAAGAAAACAGTTGAAATTGAAATTGAAACTCCAAACTGTAATTGTAATTGTTGGCTCAAACAGTGAATATCCAAATAAAATTACATTGTGGGTAACATTCAATTTGTGTTGTCAATCAGGGTGAATGAAAGCCGTTAATGTGGCGCATACTGCGTCAATTCATGATAAGTAACATAACTCCACAGAAGCCACTATCCCATCACCAAGTGCCCCTTTATTTACAAATGGAGAGTGCTTGACATGATCCAGCTCCCTCAGAGCCAGCTCTCAGAGTGAACAGAACCCCTGACACTCCTGTTATATCTGTCAGCCAAGGCTTCCCGATTGGGGCTGTTTACCTGGTCCAATCACGGAACTCATATTCTATGAGGTCCACCTGCCTGATCTCGTTACAATCACTACATCCCTCCCCCTCTGAGACAGAGGACATAAGCCAGTTTTTGTTTGGTTGCTCCTCCTGGGGCATTTTAGCACCAGGTCAGGTTCTGCCTCTGATACAGGCAGTGTATATATAGAGTCATACAGCATGGAAACAGACCCTTCTGTCCAACCAGTCCATGCCAAACATAATCCCAAACTAAACTAGTCCCACCTGCCTGCTCCTGGCCCATATCCCTCCAGACCTTTCCTATTCATATACCCATTCAAATGCCTTTTAAATGTTATAATTGTATCCACATCCACCACTTCATCAGGAAGTTCATTCCACACGCAAACCATGGTTATCTGGCAGAATAACATGACGGATGAGGCAGATGAACTATTAGTTTGGGTGCAACCTTCAGTGCTTTATTCAATTCTTTTAGATATCATAGATCCCTACTCCATTCCTTTTGATGCACAGTGAGAAAAAAGTGATCTCCCTATCTCTGATCACCATCCAGAAATTGAATGCAACACTAACTCCTCTTAAGGATAAACCAGTATCAAAACGTGAAAGATCTCACACTGGAAAATGAAGAGTTCTTTCTTTCTTAAGCTGCTCCTCTGAAGATGGATTAGCTTAACCTTTTTGCCAACCATTTGAGGGAATTTCAAACTCCTTAACCTGGATAACTTATTGATATCCTTTAGTGCTGGAACAAGCCCAGATATTGCAGTAAAAATTCTACTCAAGTTCAAGTGCAAAGCCTGTTCCAATCCTGATCCTCAAGGATAGGGAGGAATGCTGTAAATTTCAATTTCTTTGAATATACAATAGATTTTGTTTTGAATTTCACATCATACATACACACACATGCAAACTTTAATTCCTTCAGGATAAATGCTTTGCAAAACTGAACAAATGGCATCTTCATAAATATACACAAAATGTCTCAGCTGCTGTCATCCGAGTCCCATACTTGGCATCTGCCAGTCATCATTTACTTTCTGGTAAACCACTGAGACTATAAATTTTAAACTAAATGTATAAAATGAATAAATGGACATGTTGTACTGCCGCAGAGGGGAGAAGGTAAACATCTGTTCTTATGTTTCCAGCAGACATGATTGACAGAGTGGTACGATCAGCTGGTCACAGACATCAGTCTTATGTGTAACAGTCTGAAATAATGTGGAGGTGCCGCTGTTGGACTGGGGTGGACAAGGTCAGAAGTCACACGACACCAAGTTACAGTCCAACAGGTTTATTTACAAACACAAGCTTTTGGAGCATCAGTCCTTCTTCAGGTGTTAGTGAGAGAGGCAGTATTAGACACAAAATTTATGAGTAAAAGATCAAAGGTTCACACCATTGACATGGACATAATAAACAAACCAAAGATGCTGCCAAATCTCCAATCAACCAGAAGGCTTCAATTGATCAACACGTCCATGCAAATCCCTGAATTCCCCCCAAGTCATGGTCCCGAGAGAACCAAAGGTTCCACCAATGTAAAGCATGTGCGTAACACACAGTCACTCGCCTCTTGCACCCAGAGCATCTCAGAAGAAATTCATTCTCCTCTTCGGGCACCAAAGGAGATGAGGTGGTGACATCTGCCGTGTCCATTTCGGATTCCAAGGTATCTTCAATGCTTGATTTACAGGGAGAACCCATGGGTTCCAGAACAGTCAGAAAGGCAGTTGAGGTGCCAGGTACGTTTTACTCCCACACCGTTTGCAAATTTGCAGCTTTCATATGGTCCACATGTTTGTTCGGACCGTCGCACATACCCAACCCGTACACATCACCGGACCTGACCTCATGTTGCAAGCTTCGTTTTTGTCTGGCCTGATCTACTTGCTTACTTGGTGGGATTCGTTTTACCCTAATATTGAGACGTGGCTTACCATGTGACGTTGTTTATTATCATTGAAACACAAGATAGATATGTATACAACTCTACAAAACCAGTCTGTCCCTCAACTATCCCAAGGGTGAGATTGATGAAATTACAATCACCATCTGGTGGGAGGATTTCTGGGACTGGAGTTAAATAAATAAACCATATACATGGATATGATGAAGGATCTCCTAGAGATGCTAGTTATTGCAACTGGTGATAATACAGTGTGGAGCTGGAGGAACACAGCAGGTCAGGCAGCATCAGAGGAGCAGGAATGGTCACTTATAAATTTCCTTGAAGTAGGATACCTAACAAAAAGAAACAAGCGTAGTTTCTGTGAGTACCGCAGTTTAATCTCTGAGTCTCCTTATCTTCTTAAGTACAGAAAATTTGAAAGTTCAAATCCAATTAAATTTCAGAATCTGAAACTATTACCTATCTCATTTTAAAATTCGTATCAGTGCCATCACGTCTTCTAGATCAGAAGTGAGCTGTCAATGAAGTGGCACTCACAAACCCACCACCTGCAAACCGGAGGAACAGCACCTCGTATTCTGCCTCGGGAGCCCACAGCCCAATGGCCTAAATGTGGATTTTGCCAATTTCAAAATCTCACCACCCCCGGCCTCATCCCATGACCAATCCTCCCTCTCATCTCCACCTCCTTGACCTGACACAACCTGTCCATCTTTTCTCCCACCTATCCGCTCCTCCCACCTCACTGACCAATCCCCACCACTGCCTACTTGCACTCACCTATCACCATCCCACCTACATTCCCCAGCCCCACACCCTCCTCTCTCTATTTATTTCGGAGCTCCCTTCCTCCCCCCAACCATCTGTGAAGGAAAAGTCAGAGTTAACATTATGGGTCCGGTGACCCTTCCTCAAAACCCATTTAACTCTGTTTTCTTCCTCCACAGATCATGCCAGATCTGCTGAGCTTTTCCAGCAACTTTGTTTCTGTTCCTGATTTACAGCATCCGCAGTTCTTTCGGTTTCAATTTTTCAATGATTGGGCAGGGCGCAGTACATGTGGGGACAGTAAGGTTCTTGCTTGGAACACTCTAAGCATCACTGTGTCGTCCCCTGCTTTATAGTCCATGGGGTTCGTGTATTCGTCCCACAGAAGTTTCTGAGTTTATCTTGCCTTCCCCAATCTATGTGCTGCCACAATACTGGGCCTTAAATCTTCCATGAGTTTTGCTGGTTCAACCCCTGTCGTGCCTCTTTGTGCCATGCCATGCCAGTATGTGCTCCTTCCCTGGCCAGTACATCTGCTCTTTTATTTCTGGGTGGAGTGATCTTACAGTGGGCTTCAACTTTCTTTCGAACATTTTTGGCACCCATAGCTGCTTTGAATATACTCTCTGAACAGATTATTGCCTCTTTTTTCCGAAAACCTCCGGTTGTTCTACCACAAAGGCTACAATTGCCAATTCCGCCCCTTGTGCTCTCATATTTGAGGATGGTTTGACTGCCCACTCTCTCACAATCCCCACCACTACCACCCCACACCCCTACTTTGGGTCTTGCATATGAACACTGAACCCTGTATACCGTTGGCCCTATGTTAGGGTTCTTGGTACCAAAGCAGACCATTCATGAGGCTGGAGGGTGGACTCAAAGCCCAGGTCCCCACATTTGTTTTGAACTATGTTCGTGGGCGCTCACCTGTCTGGTCCAACTAGGGGTACAGGGGCTCAATACCTTCTTCTGGGGATGGGAGTCCTGTTGAGGGCACTCCTAGGCAAAGTGTCCTTCCTGACCACATACAAAGCAGGAGTTATCACCTTGACCTGACCCTTGTTCTGCAAAGCCCGAAGCTGCTTGGGACAGAGTCCTTCCTCTGCCCTACCCCTCATTCCTCCAAGCCACAGAGACAATCTGTGGGACTACTTTTCTTTTTGATGCCTTCCCTTTCCCATCTCCTAGCCATCCAACATAGGAGCCACGCTTCTGCGTGAGTATTCTCATCAGGATTGAGGTGGTCCCATGCTGCCTGAGCATGTGGTATGATATTGGAGATCAGGGTTCTGAGCCTTAGTTCTCCTGTTGGAGTCCTGGCCCATTGAGAGCACTGAAAACAGCAAATAAATGAGCTACAAGGGCTGAAGGGTGTTCTCCCTTTGGCTGTCGGGTTTTGTGAAGATCTTCTGCACGATCACCCTGATTGTACCCCACTGCATCGTTAATGGCTGTTTTCAGCTCGTCTAAAGTCCCTGTACTGGGTATTGAATCTCTGGGAGAGTTGATCTGATTTTACTCTCAAGGGTTCATAATACAAATTTCTTTTCCTCCTCATCATCCAACCCCTGTTCTAGGCAGATCTGGTGCATTTGGTGGAAGAATTCTTCCACTAGATGACCTGTCCCTAAACTGGTCTACACTAAAAGGCATACTGCATAGTTGGGATCTGCAGGAATTTGCAGCACTCCCCTGTGTGCTGGATCTAATAGCAACTATGGCGTTCATTGGCAGCTCATCGGGGACAATGCACCTTTCAGGGGATGTGGATGGGATGTTGAATCCACACACTGGAGGTGGGTCTGCATTCATTGGCTCTGACCCATCTCGGTGACCCATGGCTCACTCATACTGCCAGACTGCCTCACTTAGAGTCCCCTAATCAGGTTCATTCTTGCCGCTTTTGTCTGAAATAGCACAAACCATGCCCTACTTGCTTTTAGTGCGCTTTTAAATGTTCCATCTCCCTTAAGCATTTTGTATGGCCTACTGATCTTCCTTGCTGCATCATTTCAGACATCTGGTATACTGCCCATATTCAGCTTTGTAGATCTTCACGTTGGTCTCACCGTTGAGTGATTTGTT